ATTGGAAGCTAAAAGGAAGATGGCCCAAATTGAAAAGGACATGAAGCTAAAAAAAAAAAACAGATATAGAACTTAAAATGAAGGCAGAAATGGAAAAGAAACGTCTTGAATTGGACAAACTATTTGGTGTCCCAATTACCCGCCACACTCCAACTCAAGCTTCCCAAACTGGAACTTCAAAACTTTGAACATTTTGAAATGGCAAGAATTCTGGGATTCTTTTGAAGCCTCCATTCACAAGAATCTAATCCTTCAGCCCGTGGATAGATTCAATTATGGTGGCTAAACACAGTTTTTGATACCTTTGTTTCTTTCACCATTTTCTCTAAAACCCTTGATCTCTCGGTCGCCAAAACTGGCAGCAAGCAAGTTAATAACACAAACTTTGTTTTTTTGATAGTTAAGCTGACGTATGTGCCGTTGCCATGGCGACCTGAATAGAGATAAACAGGCAATTAAAATCGGTTTTGTTTCTTTGTAGAAAATCTAGTCATTAGATTTTCTTTATAATTTGCACGCAACGAGCTTGTAACGATACTCACAAGTTAACACCATTTTGCTAACAAGGTTCACTCGAATTTCTAGAATTTCCTTTGTTTAAAATCAATTTTTTTTCAATACTCCGGTTATTTATTTCCAAAAGTAATTTCGTGCCAGATTTCGTGAAATTCTAATGAGTGGTTCTCAAGAAATAGACATATTTCTGAGAGAGCAATTTTCCATTCAATCGCAATATTTTTACTTACTCCGCATGCGCTGCATTTAACTGGGTTCTTTCGGTAACGACGAAAAGCTAAGAATTGCCGGGTTCTTTGCACCGTTAACTTTCCTAACATATCCTTGTAATAACAGATTGAAGCCCTCAATACACTGCGTCAACTATAGGGGGAAATAGCACATATAGTGCGGGTACGTGTTGAGTAAACAAAATGACCCGGCTCCATTGACGGCATGTTTGTTTTTTGCAATCCTTGTGCGCGCGCTGAATTGCATCAGCAAAAGCGCGCGCAAAAACTTTATTCAGCCACCTCAAAAGCTGAATTAGAAGGACACCGCGGAAATAAGTTTTCGCGACGTCACAGTAACTGGTCAGTGGTCATCAACTTTAGGCTGCCAAGCGCTTCCATATGTTTGTAGACTGAGTTCGATGAAGACATCGGCTTTTTGCGTGGTTTTAAGTTAGAAAATATGCATGATACTTCTCCTTGTTTGTTAAATTTGATCCTTTGAATGGGTTTTTAATACTAAAACCACGTCTTAACAAAAAGCGGTAGAAGGGAGTCATTTTGTTTGGAGTTGTGTGCTGTTTGCCGACTTAGGCTGGCCGTCCAGTTACGAAGCGCGATCTTGGTTCTTCAGTCGCCCTCGCCTTCAGAATTGTCAAAAACAGCGATAGTTATCAGACAAAGCAGGAGATTAGTTCTGTAAGATACTTTTCCAGCGAGTCTGAAGACTGGTTGGATTTTTAAGTGTTATTAGTTTGAAGTGATACAGGTAATTGTGTTGTGAAAATATTCATACACTCACTTTGCGCCGACGTGCGGTGCCTTTTCATTTTGGTAATTATTCGCTTAGATGAGAATTTTACCTTTTTTTTCCCCATTCCACCCTTCTGATTTTCTGTGCCTTTAAAGAACGGGTGTCCGTAATCAAAATATGATAACATTTGTTCATTTCACATACTTGCAGTTTTATCAACAAGTTATCTCGTGAACAGGCACAACCAAACGTACTTAAGACATGTAAACTATAACTGTCAACATGTCAATATAACATATAACATGTCAACTATAACTGCTGTCAATAAAGGCTTAATTCAAATATTGCATATTTTCAGCGTCCTCAATCAATCGCCTTTATAATAATCTTTGTCGAGCCTTAGCGCAGCAAACAGTTCACAGTTTCTTCGATTTCCACTTCCTTTGTAAACATCACTAAACAAGCGTTATTCTGTTGCAACAACAGCTACTTTAATTTCCCAAACAGCTCTAATCGTTTTACACGAAAGCATTTTCAATGAAACCCACTTTATTATTATACTTTTATAACTCAGTCATTTGAAACTTTTACAGGCACATGTATGTTTACCTGAGGTCTATTCCACTATCTTGCGTGTGCATTGCATTAATTTATGCAAATAATCAACTACTCTTCTTCCATTCATTTTTTTAAGATTAGCTTTGCTCTGCTTTACATACACATCACATGCTCTGCCACTGTAAGGATAATTATGATCCCCATCAGTAATATTACATCATATCCCTACAGAACATTGTTATGAAACATTCCGATTTGACTTGTAGCCATTTTCTTTCAAGGTGGCAAAAAATATGTATATTGCTGAAATTAGTAAGAATTTCTTATTGACTACAACTACTGTAGCCATACCAGTGCTCCCCTCCCCAGTAATAAGTTGGGAAAAGGACATTTGTATGGTGCTATCATTGTTTACGTTTGGGAATATCCCATCCCTGATTTTTATTTGACTGGATGGGCACAGCAGTACACAGGCTAATTACAAGCTTTTGGTTACTCCTCATGACTTAGTGTTAACTGGGAATTGACAGCTGACTTAATCTAATCAATTTTCTCCTGAACATTTTTAACAAACAACTTTGACTTCAGAAATACTTCTGATAATTTCCCTCTGACTTTTCTAATTTGGAAGATTAATCATCATCAATCATTATGTTCTTTCCACCTCCATAAACACCCAACATAAGTTCTTTGTTTGTAATTCAAGCAGCTTCTGAATATAAGAAATCAAGTTTAGAAGATAGTTGATTCGTTCAAGGCTGTTGCAATATGAGAAAAGACAATACAGTGCTTTATTCACATAAATCGATTAAATTATATTATTATAATTATTTTACCTTACAGTACTTTTGTTTTTTAAACATTTGTTTTTTTTAAACATTTGTTTTCTAGTAGTACCATGATGGTAATGTTACTTTGTGAATCAGGGAGCTATATAAACCAGAAGTATTCTGTTAGCTTACTACGTTTTATGTTGCAGATGGCAGTAAGTTAGTAAAGAAAGAAAAGAAAAAGAAAAAAGAAAGAAATAGAATGATTAGTGAGGAAAGAACGGTATAAAAAAAAGACATACTACAAATTATTCATAATTGTGATGGGAAACAAATACTTGTTGGGAAAGTAAAATTATTGCTCAGAAAAAAAATTACAGCTTAGAAAAAAAAAATACAAACTGAGGTGGAAAGTGAAAACTTAATTTATTACCATTACAATGGACATTTTGTAATTAAACATACCTCGGTTCATTCTTCCTCTGGTTGAGCCAATTTTTGTATTTTTGGGGGCTTCAGTCCTATACATGTTACAGTCATAGGTTTTTGGCCAAGTGGGAATAGTGCTACAGTGCCTGTGCTACACGGGCATGTTTCGTCTTCTCGGCGAATCTGACCGGAATGCCGTTGACATGCAGATTTAGACGGTTCAAGCCACTGCTTTACAAACCTGATGGTGCAGCGTCCTTTTACACCGCTTCAGCCATTCAAAAACCGTCTCATTTTTAGCCTTAGTGCTCATGCTCTTCTATAAACAAAACTTAGTTGCCACGGAGCCGCCAGCGAAAAACAACAATTTCATATCGTGTGCAACTTCAGTTCGGCTTTGGCAAATTATATAATTGAGCTTGTGAACTATCCAAAAGGTGAATGGAGTTTCAAAGCTAAGTTTACAGTATCTTTCTAAGTTTTTCCTTTTTACGCTGTCGATTTGACTCACGGCGAAAACATTGTAAAAGTTAACGGCATTTTATGGTTTCGTTGAGGTGTCCGCTAACCAATAAAATACCGTATCGTGCCCCCATTAATGGCCGCAGCTTTTGTGAAAAACTGTGTTTTGAAGCTAGTCGAGCAGATTTCGGGTCACTGTTGTGGTTTTAAAAGCTCAAACTTACCAAAAACCCCTTGACAGCCTGTACACTTGACGGCCTTTCGATCCAAATGCAAAATGGCGGCCTGAAAATCTCGGGCACGCGCAGAAAGCAAAATTTCGAGATTTTGGGTTGAAAAGTAATGCCCCACTTATGACTTTTACTTTACGACTTTTACTTTTCTGTCTTTCTCCTGCCCTTTTATTCCCTCTCCTTGCCTGAAGTTTCTCCTCACTTGCTGGAAATTTAGTAGGCTTCATTTTGGTGTAGAGATTTTGTAGGAAACTACTCATTATTTTCAAACCACATGCTCAGAAAGGTAGGTGGGTAATGGAACAAGATTTTCGTGCAGATTTTCAGGTCAAAGTTACGTGGTTTTTTGGCTATTATTTTCTCCAATCTCCTTCACTCGATTGCGCTCATTCTGGTATCGTTTGTAAGATATTTTCAACCTGTTTAAGTACGTGCTCAAAGTCGTGCTCCAGGGTTAAAAGTGATGACGTCACAAGGCGTAGAAAGGGTGTGGGTCCACATGGGCGCATACGGGCGCACTGGACGTCAATAGGTTAAAGAACGTATTTCCGCGGTGTCAATTAGAAGGGGATGCCACTGCAGTGATCTCTAGGCTAAAACTAGCTAACTCTAACTATGAAGTAGCAGCAAATTTACTCCAAGAGAGATTTGGAAGAGATGAGTTCATAATGGATGGTCACTACTCAGCGTTAATGGATCTTCCTGCCCCTTTAAATGTCATTGCGAAACGTCGCAAAACATATATGATTGAGAAACATCCTTCGATCTCTTAGAGCTCTTGGCGAAAATGTGGACCACCCTCATTTTGTTTTCCTCATCAAATCAAAGATGCCAAAGTCAGTAATTTCCAGGATGTTTTGTTTTATCAACTAAGTTGAAATTGTAAATTGGCCACTGTAAATAGTTAAACAGCTGACGGTTCGAGCGTTAGCCCTTCGTCAGAGCCTTAGCCCTTCGCTAAGCCCTTGTCAAAGAAAGGACTACTGGAGTGACCAGTGTAAAGCTTGTCTAACTGTTGAGTCAAGAAAGGTAAAAATCAAAAGAAACTGTTTTATTTGCATAAGGCCGAATCATCTATTAAAAGATTGCAAAGTTAAAAAGCCATGTTTCCACTGCCAGAAAGTTGGAAATCACGACGGGAGTCTGTGTCCACAAATTAAAGGTTTTCTTCCAATGAAGGAAATGAAACTTTGCTCATGTTCACTGAACTCCAAATAGTACATGAAACTGAGAGTTCATTACTGGTTTCTGGTGAACGATTTCGTATGCAGACTGCACTGGCAGATACTGTGAACCTCAGTACTTCAAAGAAGCAATCTGTACAACTCTCGCTAGATTGTGGAAGCCAGAGGACTTACATAAGTAAGAATTTAGTAAATAAACTCCGGTTGGTGCCTGACGATACTGAAATCCTGACTGTTTTTACATTTGGAATAAGGAATTTAAGACTCCAGTGGTTGAGTTTGGTTTGAAATTGAAAAATGGATAGACTATGAACATTCAAGCAAATGTAGTTCCAAAAAAATCACTAGAATCACCCAGTGGGCACCTATTAATTCTAAGCTGTTTGAATTCCTTTTAAAGGAGCCAAGAGCGTCAACTTGCTGACACTCTCCCAAGTGAACTAGACGTGTCAACTGTGGAATTGTTGATTGGAAATGATTAGTACAGTGAATTGATTTTACCATAGAGGAAAAGATTGAGTCCTGGTCTTTACTTGCTTGCATCTCATTTGGGTTGGATCCTCTCGGGTAGAATGCCACCCTTAACCCCTTTGTGTCCCGCTCGAGCAACAGCAACTAAGGCACGAAAGCAGATGCAAAGACTCCTTTCTTCAGAAATAGGAACTTTCTCCTGGCTTCGGAGTGTCGCGGAGTTCCGCGAATTTGAACTGTAGTAACTGGAAACTAGCTATAGGCCTGGCTGTAGGCTCAGAGGCCTGGTTACTTAGCCACTTGGACTAAGAAACGTGTTTTGAGTGAACGGGAAACTTTGAACAGAAAAAAATTTTTTCTTTAACTTCGTAGTGAAATTGTAAATTTAGAGTTTAGAAGTAAATGTGACTGCATCCTCGGTGACAAGAAGGAAGAGGAAGCCATCTTACTTCAAAACTTGTTCCCTTACCGTAGAATGACGCCCTCACAAGCGTTGTGTCTCGTAAGGAATTTGTGGCAGATGCGTCTCGAGCCTCTACGATAAGGACAACAATGTCGTTTACGGTAAAGGTTATTGGCGCAACGAGAAACAAATCCCCGCTCGATGAATTAATCCAAAATAGCTGCTTTTCATTTCCATCTGTTATCTTCAAATGCCACCTCAGCATTTTGACCAATATCCTTATCACTTGCCTGAAAGAAAAAATAACAGCACAATCAAGACATGAGATTGGGAAAAGTGCGATTCTCCGCTCACTTAGCATCTATGTTCATTCATCGGCTTTTTCTTGTGTGTCTGTGTGGATTTGTGTCATCCTGTCTACCTTTCATGTGACTGCGTGTCTGTCTATCTCGCCTCGTCTACTTGCTAAACCCTGGACCTGGGCCGAACTACCAATTAGTTCGTGGTAGTATGCACAAATTGAAGAAAGAGGCCTGATGTCGAAGACACAAGCTTGCCAGCCTCTTCCAAAAATATTGCCGCCTCATAACGAGGGTATTGGCAATGGGTATTTCTTTCGCTCTACTAGCCTAGATTTTTGCACACTCTCATCTAGAAGAAGGTAGGATAGCTTCTAAGATTCTATTCTTAACAACTCAGAACAGTTACCCTTAAAGTTCCACAACACCTTCACAGCGTCGAGTAAAAATACGGAGGGGTGGTTGCCGGGATAGGCCATGCTCAATAGGAATAAGGGGGGCAATTTTTCAAAGAAACTGTGGTGCTGCGTCGGTGGGGGCAACAAGGTAATTTGGTAATATCAACTAAGTTGAAATTGTAAATTGGCCACCGTAAAGAGTTAAAACGCTGACGTTTCGAGCGTTAGCCCCTCGTCATGCTCAATAGGAGACGAGAATCGGTCAATGCCATAAAACCCTACAGAGAAGCTGTTTCAATAGGCCTTTTGCAGCTAGAGATCACGTGCTTAGATACCGCATACCAACGCCATACTGAAGAGCAAGCACTCCAGTGATCTCAGACAGTATAGAGGTCACATAGGTCTGCATTCAAACAAAGAATACAGCGGATAACTGGTCAAAAGGTATCCCAATTCGAGAAATCCAGTAAGTAATCAACAGCTTCCCCGGAGTGTATCAGCAGCAAAATCACACCAAAATTCGTTTTTCGCTGATACACTCCAAGGAAGCTGTTGATTAAAACTTACAAGATTTCTCGAATTGGGATACCCTGTAGCTTGTTATCCGCTGTATTCTTTGTTTGAATGCAGACCTCTGTGATCTCTATTTTGTCTGAGATCACTGGAGTGTTTGCTCTCCAGTATGGCGTTGCTATGCGGTATCTAAGCACGTGATCTCTAACTGCAAAAGGCCTATTGTTACACGTCCCAAGTAAAAACTCACATTTAAGTGTAACAGAAGACTAGGCTTTGCATGCAGGCTCAGAGACATTGTGTACTCCTCTTTAGCTAGCACTGGCGGATTATCATTAATGTCTTCAACAGTTACCCGTACTTCTGCAAGGCTTTTGTAAGACCCGTTGAGAAAGTGAAGATTTGCCTCCACAATAAATAGGTGAAAATCAGCGGTCTCACGATCAAGAGCTCTAGCAGTCTTGATTTCACCAGACGTCTGATTTACCTCGAACCTGGAACGTACAACAATACAAAGGCGACTGGTCATTTAGGCTATCGAATCAAGTTCACGCTCATGATTCAGAGCAGAGCGCAAAAGAAAAAAAAAACCCGAGGGGAAAAACAGAGGTAAAAAAAACTTTCACGAGTCTGCTAGATACTTGTTGCCCAGAAGAGTAGATCTCCAAAAGAAACCGTAACCGGACGAATAAGACTTATGTTGTCAAAATTTTCTTCACAATTTCAAGTACCGAAATAAAGTTGGAAACAGCGATCACTACAAAATGATGATAGCTTTGAGAGTGCTTACCAACGATGGTGGTTGTTGTTGGTGCCAAAGCAAGTCACTCCTCTCGTAAAATTACTCTACTCGCCATATAACTTAAATTCAAGCCTAATCTCTGAATTGAATCGGAATCAAATTAAACACTAGATGTATCCAAACAAGTCACCCGAATACACATCAAACCAATTAATGAACGAGGCAAAGAAATAAAAGCAATCCTGAATAACTTTGGGCGATCAATTTTTAAAACGTGCTTCTGAATTCACCAGTGACACATTTGCTGTGATTTCATATTTCGGTACAGAAGAAAAGTCTTCGAGGCGAAAGGGAACGAAAGGAAGATTCCAGGAGTTTTGATAGTAATTTAGCTACAAAACGGCACGAAACTATACGGGTTACGAAAAATCATACAGATAAATGAACAACTAAAAACTTACAAATACTTGATTTGTTCATTCTTCAAATAGCACGAGATATTTTCACTCAAACCAGTATGGCGGTTAACTGCCTGGAGACAAAAACATATACCAGTAAATTTCAAAGGAAATTTTGTTTAATATACATGAATTAATTAATTACTATGCACCAAGGTGGAGGTGGCTAGCGGTGGATATTTACCGAGCCCGCAATAAATATCCACTTTTAGCCACCGACGTTGAGGTTAACCATTGTTTTAGTGTATACCAAATAAATAATAGCCACTATTTGGCGCCAAAATAAGCACGAATGATTGTCCGTGAACATTTTCCATTCCAAGATTCCGAGAACCTTGAAGTTCGATGAAAACTGTGAACTTCGAGGAACAGATAATGTCCAAGGACAATATACGGGCATGTTTTTGCACAAAATAGAGCCTATTGTGTTAAGTATCCTTAAAAAATTTCGCAACGCGCTTGAAAGTATGTTTACGAAAAGCATACTAACAACAAACATATGAAACATATGTGTGAACTGCGGTTATGAGACGTATATGAGAACGATTCTTCGCAGTAAAGCACCATTTGAGCAATAGTGAAAATCAGACCTGAAAAAAATTTCAGGCCTGTACGGGATTCGAACCACTGACCTCTGCGATACTAGTGCAGCGCTCTACCAATTGAGCTAACAAGCCAACTGGGAGCAGGCCATCAAATTAATTCGATATAAACCCGTAGATGATAAATCGAACAACAACAAACATATGAAACATATGAGTGAACTGCGGTTATGAGACGTATATAAGAACGATCCTTCGCAGTAAAGCACTATTTGAGCAATAGTGGAAATCAGACCTGAAAAAAATTTCAGGCCTGTACGGGATTCGAACCACTGACCTCTGCGATACTAGTGCAGCGCTCTACCAATTGAGCTAACAAGCCAACTGGGAGCAGGCCATCAAATTAATTCGATATAAACCCGTAGATGATAAATCTACGGGTTTATCATGCACTATTGCTCAAATAGTGCTTTACTGCGAAGGATCGTTCTCATATACGTCTCATAACCGCAGTTCACACATATGTTTCATATGTTTGTTGTTGTTTGATTTATCATCTACGGGTTTATATCGAATTAATTTGATGGCCTGCTCCCAGTTGGCTTGTTAGCTCAATTGGTAGAGCGCTGCACTAGTATCGCAGAGGTCAGTGGTTCGAATCCCGTACAGGCCTGAAATTTTTTTCAGGTCTGATTTCCACTATTGCTCAAATAGTGCTTTACTGCGAAGGATCGTTCTTATATACATAAATGCGTTTTGTTTAGACCAATCGCGAGCGAGCAAAAATAGTCGATGGATCATAATAACATGTATCGGCAATTTTGTATTAGTCATTGAAATTTTTTTTTGCATTAATTCGTTTACTCATACTGGAGAAGGCATTCAGGAAGCTCCTAACCTAAACTGTAGTGGCCCTTGATGTGCTTGACCTTGGCTCTTTCCAAGCAGAGTTAAAACAACAACGCTTAGAGTATCATGATTGAATACACTCCGTAATTCTCAATTGGGCTCAGGAATACAGCATGAAAACCACTGCAACTAGAACAGCATACCTTAATAAATCCAACAGTGAGGCCGCTCTCGCCTTCGTCCACGCTAAACGTGAAAAAAGGATCTTCAAATAATGGAGGGTCAAGGCATCCTGAAAGATCCACAGTCACCAATGCGAGCTCTACCAATTGCGACCCAGTAGAATCTTTGGCTGAGACTGAAATCTAATAAATTGGTGTATTAGAAAAAGTAGCCCAAAGGAAAACGTCAAAATGGGCAAACAATTAAAAGCGAGGAATAAAATTACTCCTCTCAGATCTCTCCAGCTTTTTCATCACTCATTTGCCTATTTTAATTTGAGGATTAAAAAATTCCAAAGTTTCTTTTTTCTCCACTCCCCAGACAGGTAATTTGACCAAAGTCTAGATATGGTTATTTCAATCTTGCATCATCTGCAGTTTTAAATCTTAGTTGCATGTGTTTAAAAACTTGTATACCAAAGCTGTTTTTCTGTTCTTCCCTAGCTTTCATTAAGGAGCAAAGGACTGGCTGATTGATGACTATTCTGTCAACCTGTGGTGTGACACAGACAGTGTGTGTGGTTTTTTTTTTTTTTGTATTTTTAGACTCCTCTGACAATCCTTTACCTCATGAGGCTTTCCTAATCCTTAAAATTAATACACGCTGTTCATTGCAGCAAACCTGGATGAGTAAACTATAAAGGTAATTTGGAATCTAGAGATTTTGAGAAATATGCTATTAGAGGAAAATACCTCTAGAATATGATATGTAGCATCATCTTCCACCAAATTTCTGACAGTCCGCAGGATACCAAGATGGTCAACAGCGAACAGATCTGAAGAATTACATGTTAAGACGGCGAAGGACACATTGGACTGAAACAGAAGGAATACTAATCCACAGGTAACACTCAGAGGTATTAAGAATGAAATGAATGAGATCTCAACTGTGAATGAAATCACTAGGTCACAAAGTGGTATTTGAAACTGTACAAAAACATTTTTAAAAGTTATTCTGTGAACAAAAGAACTGTGGCTGAACACTTTCCTTTGGAAGTCTGCTGGTCGAGCACAATTCAACTTATTGGTAAACCGATTCTTAAAATACATTTAATTTAAGTATGGTATATATTGATGCTTACTATATTGTGCACACTTGGTGTCTGCAAGGCCAGCTGCATCACAGCATAGCTTGGAGTATGGTGAGTTATATTTGCTTCATAAGAGTGCTGAGATAGCAGCAATTCAGAATCAAGACAGGCTTCATTTGTATTGCCCACACAATATGTCACACAGTACTATGAAAAATGAACAATAAAACCGGTTTAACATTGTGCAAATTGAAAGTGTCATTTTAGTATTGAAGATGGAAAAGTATTAAATTCCATAAAATTAATCTACACACGTGTGCAAGGTGTTCATCAAGGCAAGTGCATACAAAGGAACTTTTGGCAAAAAAAAAAAAAAAACAGGAAAAAATGGATTGGAAAAAACTTAAAGTACCCCTGAGACGAAAATTGACCATTTTATTTTGGCCTAAATTGTTTACACAATGTTGAATTGGGTCAAGCTAAGACCCTTTTGCCATTAAAACCTCAAAACAAACCTTCGATGACCAATTTTTACCGATTCAAAGTCGTCCAAAAATCGTCCGCCATTGTTGAAAACATGTTCCGGCCGAGCCCGCAAAAACGTCATTATGACGTCAAAGGCTCAACAAACTTTTATGCTTTGCTTTGTCACAACTCTCTTTGTGCGCTGCACAGAGAATCACACATATTACTTTTTTGAGAACTGCTTCGTTGTCAGTCGAAAAATGTCGACTTTTTCAGACGATGAATTGTCCCAGAAATCATCTGAAGCTTCTGTGGATAGTTTTGCGCCGACAAACGATGAATTTTTTCCATGCGAATAAAGATAAACACAGAACGGCACGGACTCCCCATGTGGCTTTTGTGGTCATGTCGCTTTATCGCCTTCGAACTGTATTTTTGCTTGTAGTAAGGGATTTTCCTTTATTGTGAGAAATGATCGGGTGATTATTAAAAATAGTTTTCGGCAATGGCTAGTTGTGTATCCGAAGGCGGATATTGGGAGTTTGTGAAAGCCATTTCTAAGCCATCAATGTATTTTCCCCGATGCATTTGGTCAATGATCTCATTAACCCTTTCCTGCGTGTTTTTTACTATCGGTGCTTTGAGAGGTTTGAAGTGAGCTCTGTTGTTGAGTTGCACTTTGGCCTCTTTCGTTTTTTCTGTCTTATTCATGATAACTATTGTTGTGTTGCTTCGGTGAAGTTTAAAGCAGAGTTTGTTTCAACTCTTTTAGAGCCGTGACCTCGTTGCGTTACAAAGTATTTTTTGGCTTAGATGCCATTAGATGCAGTCTGCAAGTAGCGTTAAGACAATTTTCCAAGTGGCTCTGAAGGGCGATAGAAGACTGAACCGGTGGCATTCAGTTTGATATGAAACAGAAGTGGTTCTTGTTTTGTCCGTGAAAGGTGTAACGGAGGCGCATTCGTCTTGCGAATAAATCTCGCAAAAGTTGGCCTGATTTTAAATTTGTTTGTCACGGGCGTTGGGTTGAATTTGAGACCCTTTCAAAGCACGCTGGCTTGGCTGTCAGATGGTTGATAGTTTGACAGGTTTTTAAAGAAATTTTCATTTTCTCGGATTTTGGCTGTAAGGCTACATTTCAAAGTGTTTTTACGCTCTGTGTCTTAAGTTGTTCGTTCTGCTTTCGCTGATATTAAAGCCAGCTTTTTTTAGAATCAAGGCACACAATTATATTTTTCATCTCTTTTGTATAAAAGTGAGCTCTTTGAGGTCAGAAATCTCAATCCTCAATTCGGCTATTTTATCATTCTTATTTACCTA